AGCTCTCGGTGAAAGACCTGGACTCCTCCAAAATATTCGACTACCTTAGACGTGACAAACTGAAATTCAACAGACCCACAATCAACATCATACCCCACGACACCTTCTTAACCATGGACAAACACTCAACCATAACCACCAAAAAAACCAAACAATACACGTTCAAACCTCCACAATGACCCCGCAATCCTCACTTAAAATACTACAACACAATGTACGACACTGGCGTAGCAAAAAATTCACATTAGCAAACATTTATAACAACATCAACCCCGACATCATACTAATCAACGACCACTCCATCACAGAATATAATCCCCCGATGAAGATATTCAACTATAACGTCCACAGCTGCAACAAAGAAAACACAATACACGCTGGCGCTGCCATAGCAATTAAACGCCACATTCCATATAAACTCCACGACAATTTTTATACAGACATGCTAGCCATCACAGTAGACACCCAACAAGGACCCATCACGATAGGAACAACGTACATCCCACCACGCGCAAACTATATTAACTACATCGACTTCCACACTTTACTGAACAGACCCCATCCCGTATACCTAATGGCCGATTTAAACGCAAGACACACAACACTAGGAAACCGCGACTCCAACAGGTCTCGGACAAATTTACGGCCGGACCCGCGGCCGGTCTCGCGGCCGAAAGGTTTTCTTAGTGTTTTTATGGGTTTTTCTAGGTTTTTTGTGTTTTTAATGGAACTTGTTCCTAACTGGACCTAACCTGCGTGGTTTTCGTTGATTGGCTAGGTTTTTTCTATGTTTTTAGTCCGGCGGCGAGACCGGCCGCGTATTCGGCCGTAAATTTGTCCGAGACGTGACTCCAACCACATCGGCAGACAACTACACTCATTGATATCCCAGCGCAAATGCACCCACATCGGCCCCTACTTTCCCACCATCATAACTCACAACAGCACCACAACACCAGACAGAGTCTTACACAACAATAAAGCATTCCATAACATACACCTGAAGCCTGGGCCCATCACACCATCCGATCACATTCCCATAATAGCCACCATATCAGCAAATCCCATTCAAATGCCGATTCGTCCTCGCAGATCTTACTTTAGACTGAGCAAACTGGACCTTATACAAGCAAAATCTATCACAACACGCAGTTCCCACACAGCCTGACCCGACACTAGAAGAAATAGATACACACTTAAAAAACTGGACCCAACACGTACAAGACGCCACCGAAACTTCAATTCCGACCATAACACATCGAATAATTCCCGGTATCAAACCAACTCACGAAACACTCCTTATACAAACACAATACCAATCCACTCTTCAGTAAATTCGCACACACGGCCCGTCACTAGCACTTAACCGACAACTCATATCCCTAAGAGAACAGCTACAAACTACATACAGACTCCTCCAAACACAGACATGGCAAGACCTCATCAACTCTTTAGAAACACAAACAGACCCCAAGAAATTCTGGTCCTCCCTAAAGCGCATGTTAGGTTCCAACACAAAACAGGCTGCCCCCTACCTTAAACAAAACAATATACAACACGACACACCAGAACAAAAAGAACCCATATTCCGTAAACACTGGCAGGACATATTCACTCAGGACGACATAAACAATGAAGATTTCGACACTGAACACATCCGTACGATACACGACCACGTTAACAACAATACACATCTCATTCATCCATATAATCGCGGAAACTTAACCCGACTCCACCCAGTAGATTTCCCACCCATAACTATCAAAGAATTACAGCGCACTCTGAAAACATTCCAACAGAAAGCACCAGGCCCCACTAGTATCACTACCCTTCAGCTCAAGCACCTCCCCAAAAACATGATACACTACCTGTTATACATATACAACAATTCCATATTAGCCGGATATTTCCCAGACTTACTCAAACACGCCATAATGATCTTCCTCCCTAAACCCAATACTTCACAACACCAAGTGCAAAACTACAGACCGATTTCACTATTAGACATACAAGGAAAACTATTAGATAAAATAATGAACAATAGACTATACGAACATCTCACATTTAACAACATTCACAACACTAGACAACACGGTTTCAGGAGACACAGAGGTACCCACACAGCATTAGCAACTTTCCACGAAACACTCGCGATACACATATCCCAAAAACACACCATAGACATAGTGCTCCGTGATGTGACCAAGGCCTTCGACAAGGTCTGGCACACCGGTCTCCAATACAAACTAATGCAGCTCAACCTCCATCCCTCCTTTACAAAAACACTAGCAAATTACCTCACAAATAGAACAGCGTCGATCAGAATAGGACACCACATAGGTCCCCCCTACGTTTGCACACTGGCGTCCCACAAGGAGCCTGTCTTTCACCCACCCTATATAGCTTCTACACCCACGACCTTCCACCACCACTTCCCAATACAGAATACATAGCCTTTGCCGATGACATCACACAAATAACAGCCGGACGCTACCCACCTAAATACGCAGCAAAACAAACACAACACGCCATCCAGCAGATAAATTCATTCGAAAGAAAATGGCTCATCAGAACGAACACTAACAAATTCAAAATCATCCCCATCTCAAGGCGCAAAACATCAGACATATTCATCGACAACACCCACTACCCCTACACAAATAAAGGAACAATCCTAGGATTAAATTTCACATCACACGGTTTTAGGTCTCAAATAAACATCAGGAAAGCAATAGCTCTCAAAAACTTGCAGAAAATATACAGATTTTATCACCTCTCACCAAACATAAAACGCACCCTATACCTCACCTTTGTCAGATCATCTCTAATATACCCACCAATACCTCTTCACACCACATCCAAGACAGCAATATCACAACTGCAGAAAATCCAAAACAAGGCCCTAAAATTCATCTCCAATACACACTGGTCAGATTTCATACCCTCAAGAACACTACACGAGCAATTTGATATCCCCACCATAAACACAGTCCTCTACCAACAGGCACGTAAAACATGGTCCACCGTCAAAACTTACGACCCCCAGCTCTTCAATCAACTAATTATACCCCCAGAAGCCACTACTAGACAACACCCGTCATTTAAGAGCTCCAGAACACTAGCATTAGGCCCCCCACCCCCACCACTATACACATAAATACACAGCGGATCATGCTGCACCCAGACGAAGTTGTTCATAACGCGGATGGGTGTGGCTGGTCCAAAACATCACACACCGATTAAGATACCATCACGCCGACGGACTAACGAATGTCACCGAGAGTTACGCACAGTAAAGACGAGACTTAATACTACAAAAAACAAAATGAAGTTACTATCGAGCTACATTAACATCGAACGTTAATATCGAGCAATCTTCGTCATCATCGTCACCATCATCCATCACAACCCTCATCCATCTATCCATCATATCATCAACTCCTTCTTCCCCCCCACCCCAAAAAAAAAATAATAAAAAAAAAAATACAAAATTAAAAAAAAATGAAAATAAAAAAAGTTAAAAAAAATAAATAAAAAAAATAATAATAAAAAAAACAAAAAATAATAAAAAAAAAATTCTAATAACAAATATCCAACAACTCATAAGTGGAGCACCGATCGTCCACGATTACCATCCAAAGCCCTGACGGGTAACCCCCCCCCCCCCAACCCCAAGAAAAACCCAAAGCACCAAAACTCAACCTAGTTATGCGCAGTTCGCCTATTTCGTCTTCTACTGTTACTTCCTTTTCTCCTTCATCTTTCTGGCCACTCTGTGCCATCTCTTGTTTTTTTCTCCAATTTTCCTAGTGGCACCGCACCACCACCACCACCACAGCTTCATCGTGCATTAACTCTACTCAGCCTCAGAGCTAGAAGCCGCAAACTACGCTTGAACTCCGTAATCCAGACAAGCGAAACACTGCTGAAAGATAATACGATATATACGATATATTCGTACGATATATACTCCATCCACCTATTAAGCTATTTTCTTTTAATATTACTTTTCTAGCCCTGGCCTCACAGCTAGCGCTTGTATTCAATGAGATTTGCTGACGTAGGAGATTGGTATTTAAAAATGTCGAAAAGAAGATTGTATAGGCAAAATGTCATTCTTCTCTATTCGCTATGACATTTTTGTCGACGCAAGTAATATGCAAAATTTCATCCAAGCGACGAGTCATTTTCTGTGGCATTTATTCATATTATATCGTTAAATCGTTAATCTTTGTGTTGACGAGCGGAAGAAAAATTCCATACCGAGGTAAAATTGCTCAGGACAAACCCCGCTCATGATCATTTGGTGCACGCGGTTTCCAAGTATCTGGCTAATCTACTCATAAGGTTTTCAATTATGAATCAACTAACGGGCAGTTAAATGTATATCATTTTTATTCGTAATTTGCGTTTAACGGTAATTTGATTTACTGATTATACAAATCTTGACAAACAACGGCCATTTAATCAAAATAGAAACTTATAACCTTGTCACGGGTGACGGGTCAATGTTCACTGGTAATTTTTTTCATTATTCCGGGTAGAGAAAAAAGTATATTCTAGCACCCATATCAGCCTCGCGATTTCATTTGACTTAACAGCATTGCAGTGGGGAGTAAGTGAACTCTCTTATTCTTTTTTCTTATCAGTGAATTTGACATTACAAAATTTATGCGTTGCGCACCTGAATATTAGGCAAACATATAAAATAAATTTTGGCGGACCCCATATAGTCCCCATATAAATTTTGGCAGACCCCATATAATCGCGACCGCAGAAGTGTCGGCTGATTTCGAAATTTTGTTTTTGAACCTGAAGTTCATTCAGAGGCAATATCGTAAAAAGCTGTTTTGAAGTCAGACAAAAAGTGAGTCGCACCTAATTTTTTGTGGTGTATTTTTAATATCATTTGTAGTCATATTTAACGTAATATTAATTTATTCCTGTTCAGCGTTTCAATCTATGCAAACAAATAAATGGGCATGAAAGAGTTTGTGATTTAATACTTTTATTAAGAGAAAGTCTAGAATTGCACGCACAAATGAAAGCAGTTGATTATATTTTTATCATAAGGGGCCTATCTTAAAATAAATATCGTATATGAAGGCCGCGATAACTCAAGATACTTTAATCTAGAGGAGCAATATGTCAATTAAGTGTGATTACCATCATGTATGTATAACGTCAATCAAGTGTAGAGTACAAGTTGAGTATAATTATCGTCCAAGTAATCGAACTACGATGAGCTTATCGACATTCGTGCTTTGCAGCTCGCAGGTGAAGCTTCAATTTACAGAAACTTCGATGGGTCAAGTGGAACAGAAATCAAGCAGAACAACAATCTTGTGAAACGTCAATATAATCAGACTTTATAGATCGTATATCTAGTAAAGTGAAGACTTGGTCACATGTTACCTGAGCGATGGTATGCTTGTAAGCGCAGTACCGGTGAGGTACCAAGTGTAGCGCCAAGTACTGACAGTGACACATAGTAATGTGCAATGCGGCGCAGTTGTTGATGATAGAAAATGCCGACACAAGCAAGAACTTCCAGAGGAGCGCAAACAAGAAACAAGAGAATCAAGTATCGTAGTGACTGGATCAGCCGTGATGATCACGGGTCGACCCTCTCTAAACGTTATAACTGTACATGCTTATGTTAAATACGTCGCATCGATGAACTCAGTTAATCATTCAGACTCTTGTCCCACAAAAGAGCACGGACATAAAACACTATAAACCCTACAAATTTCTGTCGCTTTTTCCTTTTCCACTACTTCTCTGGGAAGGGAGGTTATGCAGAATTGATGTGCAACCAGATGCTCGGCGAGTTTATGTTTCAGGATTAAGCTTGGATTTCATGCTCCTTAGAGTTGTTGCATTAAAACTTCTGCGACTAATACTGTACTGATATTTAAAGTGAAGTAACGATTCGCTGCATCGCTCCAATCGTCTAGGATATATACCAGCGACGTCGTTGGCAATAAAAATCAATTAAATCTTTCATTCATATTTCGTCTTCCAAACTTTTCATTGCAGAGTAAATTTGGCTTACGCAACGCAGTGTTGATCAGTAATTAATTAATCATTAATTAATCTTCGGATATTTCAGAAAGGTGTGGTGATTTAAATGCTGAGAGAGAGCAAGCCGAAATAAATGTGAAGAGACACTGAAAACTGGAATCATACAAAACGTCAATATCATACAAAATCATACAAAACCTCAATAAAGTAAAACGGCAATAATTTAAAACCACGATCAATTGAAACGTTAACAAATTGGAACATCTCTCTAGTGTTACTACAATCAAGTGAAACGTCAGCAAACCGTTAGATATCTTACAATTGCTCTTTTATATCCATGCTTTTGTCAAAAATATTTTTCAAATTGGTAGATTGGCTATTTACGATGTTCAACTTGAATGTGATTAAACAAACATTAAGTTAGTCGTGTTTATCTTCAACCTTAATCACTTCTACTTTTTCAGGTAGTTCCTCGCGGATGTAGATATTGATGAGTCCACTTAGCCTGTCGGAATGAGACAGAATTAGATCAGAATCAGCAGTTCAGTGAATAACGTAACTTGATTTTCACTAAGATTTTCAATATTTACCGCCATATTTAAAAGACGAACTCATCATGAGGCACCTTATACAGGGTGAACCAGAATTAACTAACCCTTTTAATTTGTTAATAAATAAAAAACTAAGAACGTTATGAAGTTGAAACCTGTTTTATTTAAAAGAATAACATTTTTATGGTAATATTATGGCAATATGATTTTTTTTATGATTTTTATAATTTATTATAAAAAATCATAAAAAATCATAATTTTTTATGATTTTTATGATTTATTATAAAAATCATAAAAAAATAAATAAAAAAAATTTATAATTTTTTTTTTATTTTTTTATAATTTTTATGGTAATATGATCCTGTAATCACGTTGAACTTCTGTTATTGACATCGTCCTGGTGTAGGTTTGCAGAATTTTCGTTCTTTCTGCTTTGCTGTAGCGAATCATGATGAAAATTTAAGGCTTGATAATTAAACCCAAATTTAGCAAGCTATACAGGATAATGACGTAACTATGATACAATATTACCATAAAAATGTTCTTGTTTTAAATAAAACAGGTTTCAACTTCATAACGTTCTTAGTTTTTTATTTATTAACAAACTAAAAGGGTTAGTTAATTCTGGTTAATTCTGAATTCCTGTATAAGATGCCCCGTGTCATGGATACCATAATGTCTTATTTGCTCGTGTCCTCACATTACATTACAGCTAATGAGATACGAGTATTCAACACATTGAATAATTATACATTATGATAATCTGGAATAGTAATTTCGAAAATTTTTTGAGCTGGACCTCCTTTAATTTTTCTAGAATACAAAAGCTATATTTAACACGTAAGCCACCGCAAGCCGTTAACTCGGTTTGGCATGGTTGGTTTTGTTCTCGATTATTTGGTTGAGACATTTGTAGGAAATTGTAGACAGTTTGGAATAAATATTTCCACACATCTTCAACCTACATATCACCAATGCCGATCCGATGAAAATGTAACATCTCTGTTGTGTTCCGATATATGAGACATGTATTGTGAATACGTGCATGGAATATCTCGTATATATAAACATAATAATTATATATAAACCTAACAACCACACAACTGATATGATTTTACCTGCGGAAGAAGGTGAGCCCAAATAATTCTACTGAAGTCACAACACTTCTCAGACTGAAGTAATGCGAACGAACAGAAAACTCATTTAACATCTTCTAACAAAGAACTCATATACCAATATTTCAATCTAAATTAAGGTAAACACTCTCTTTTTAGCCCAAGTAACAATTTAAGCTATTAAACTCTCATCTATTACCAATTTGTATATGATGTATAGAAATATATTTTGACCTTGTTACACAGCGTTATCGGAGCGACAGATGACGCTTATGATGGATCGCTGATAATTTACTTATTGAATTAGAAAAGGAAATGAAAGATTGAGAATTTGCTGTTATCCACGTTATACCTAGAGCTTTTTTATGGTAGCCTGGGTAAAACAATTTTTGTTATAACATCTTTTCGACCTAATTTCGGTTCGTTTGGTCCTCATCACAATTACTATTGCTAGCTGCACCTCATTAACATGCATTGGTGATATTTTTTTACAGTGATCGGCGCTTGTACTCCACAAGTCGGTTTTGAGGCGAATGGTTAACTTTAAAAAATAGTAAATCCTTTCAGTTCGAAAAATAACTTCTCTGGATTCACACGAATGAAACTGTGTTTTAATATGGGGATCGATGAAATACAACAGAAAGAATAAAATAATAAAAATTACTATTTTTGCGTACTATTTTGACAAACTAATCCCAGGAGCGGGATAACGCTTGGAGCTACGTTTGTCATCGTTCACTCACTTTGTTTCTTCGAGGCGAGTGCGATCACCCTCCTGCGTCCGGGGACCATGTGCCTGAGTGCGATCAACCTCCTCCGTCCTGATACCAGGTACACGAGTGCGATCATCCTCCTCCGTCGTGATACCAGGTACACGAGTGCGATCATCCTCCTCCGTCCTGATACCAGGTACACGAGTGCGATCATCCTCCTCCGTCCTGATACCAAGTGCATGCAGTTCTCGTAAAGTCGACCGCCATTCTACTTTTGAAGGCTGCAGCTTCAACGTTAAGAACCTGCATGGACATAAAACAATACTGAACATTATTAACATAAACAATACCGGACATAAACATTACCGAACATAAAACATTACCGAACATTTACATTACGAACATTATTCGATATCATTACCCTGAGGTACGAGGATCATGCACTTAGACTTCGCCCAGAGTCACAATTTTCAAAGTTCGCGTCCAGCCATGAAACACATACATTTTTTACCTTATATTTTCCATGATTCAGCCCGACTCCAATTTCTATTCATCCCAACATATAATAAATGCAAATCTTACATGCAGATCCAGACTCCAGAGCTCATGCTCAAGCATGTCCAATACTTCTATTCCTGTTTAATAACTCGAACGCTTTACACGCAAAAATCAGAGATTAAAATTTCTGAACGCTAATTCTATTCAAGGAATTGAACATAAACGCGAATGCCGCAAAGTAAAAATATTAACAATTTCACAGTATTTTTGTGTTAAAACTGAGTTATAGTTATTCAAATTTTCTCTGATTAGCAAGTAAAAGCTCAGTTTTCTAAATAATTAAATAAAAAACGAGAAATATAATTATCAAGTTCCTGTAATTATCAAGATCTGAACCGTCCAGAGACGGTTCAGAATATTGAATCTTTTATTTTAATTTTTACAATAAGGGGCCATTGAATCCCAAACCTTTTGTTTTGGGGCGCGAGTAATGTGATGGTATGGGCCACGGCCCCCTTGAACCTCTCATCAGCGCCATCCACCTGCAGCGATGGCGCTGGCGTGTCCGGCAGCGGCATTGGAGTGGCGTCAGAAGGGAGCTGACGGGTGCGCACATCTACGCGCGTGGACAAATGAAATCAATTGTCGCATCGATTGCATTCCGTATAAACTGAATCTTACTGATAAGAGTTCAATATGGCTAGAGAGGTTCAAAATCATTTTGTAATAAATTTTTTAATGTTTAGTTTTGTTATATTTTCGAACATCATTTTTTTAAGTATTGACATGTATGGAATTTTTGCAAATAGTTGGTCAAGGAATTTAAAAGTCACCAAAAAATTTTACACAGAAGATAATTGTATCATTTATCCACACTTTGCTTCACCTGGAAAAAACTGAACGTAAAGCCAAAAAATAAAAAGTAAAAGTTAAACCATACTTTATTTTCCCTTTGACCAGCATTGGCCTGCTCTGACCTTGACTCGATAAGCACAACGTAACCAATAACACTACCGCCCCATGTATAGTTCCACAACACTCACTGAGTTTTTTATATTTCCCACTGAGCGCTCTGAGGTCCAGGGGGTCAGCCATGCGGATGTTGATTTCAGCCTCGTGAGCTTTCGAGGCGAGGGCGGTCACGCTGTCGGGGTGGCTCACGCATCCGTCGAATCGAACTATCCTGATTCTGAAATATCGCGAAGGGAATTTGTTACACACGACGATGTGATAATGTAAGAAGTGAACGATAAATGAACCTGCATTCGAGGCTCGAGCATTGATGAGGAGTGCAATAAAGTTTCACCTAGAATTCCAGAAAATGGCAATGCAAAATAACAATAAATAATTCGCTTTACAAGTGGTATGCAAGATCCTTTATTCATCAGACGAGGGTCATGAGACACCTTTTAGGAGTTGACAAGATTAATCGAATCGTGTCTAAGCAAGAAGGTGGACTTGGAATTCATGGGATTAGAGCAATATAATTTTAAGGATGTAGGGATCGCCGACTCTATAGCCACCCTGAGATTTCCTCCTGATGTACATGTTTGTAATCACGGTTCGCTAGAATAATTTCTCCAGGAAGTGCTATTCGAATTAAATTCAGAAAACTCTTTGGCATCAAATAAGTAAGCAGAAATTAAATTTGTAACAATATAGTGGCGTCTTGAGCAACTGGACAACTGGAAGTTACTAATGAACAAAAAACGTTGAATCATACAAATTCAACATAATTAAGTAAAAAGAAGTTAAGGTACACTATATTCAACAATAAACTATGTTTATATTCAGCAATAGAAAATACATGACAACTAGCCAAGTCTGCTAAGATTGGATTAATTAACTTTGAAGTAAATGTCTTATAATATTCATGTGCGTATTACACGTCTCTTTATGAAATAAAAATCTCGCATATCGACGCAATTTTTTTTCAAATAAATGCAAATTAAATACGCTCTTTCCATTATCAGTGATTTTCTGTCAACGGCAGCGTAGTGGTACGAGACGAGAGGCAGTGCCATCTATCTTAAATCATCGTCTGCTCAGGCTGACCGACCAATATTCATGTGAAAATGAAACCTATAGCATTTTTATTACTAGGGTTATGAAGCGATAAGTGATGTTTGGTATCTAGCTTCAAAAACTAGACGATACATAATTAGATTTTAAATCTCGCTCAGCTAATAATAAGCTGGCACAGGTCGAAAGATTGAGTATTTTTAAAATGTTCTGTATTCAATAGAATCTTGTTTGCTAATATGTTCTTCATTGTGAAAAAGATATTGATCGATTGAAATAGGCAAGATGGATAAGGTAAATCTAAGATCTTGAAAAAGGATTCAAGCTCGATGGACAGTGGCACTGTGAGCAGTAAATATATAAGGACACTTCCTGGACCAATTGACGAGAAATTTTAAAACACAGATTCGGTTAATTTCTTTCAAGATCTTATACCTATATAATTCGATCACCGCCGTGAATTCCTTGCTAAAATTATCGTTGAGAAATCGCTACTCGTCTCCGGAGTTCTTTTGGGAAAAATAAACTTTCGTAGTTCATCTACCTAAATTGTCGGAGTCTTCCATATCCACCACTAATATGAAAATTACGCTGGCATTCTTGCTCACATTGTAAATTGATTGGATAGCCCAGATAGATTCAACTTTCTGCTTGAATCTTTCTCGGCAGTATTCGAAATCAGCAAGTGGCCTAATAATCATCACGCAAGTGAGCACAATTTCGCGCCTAACTGCATCTCACTCTAATTTTTGCGCTCGTAATTACCCAAACCTAGTTACGCTAGTTTACGTCAATAAGGTTAAAGCAGCGGCATGAGCCCAGTTATTTGCTCCGGTCGGTCGCTCGATGCTGTGCTGGGGTCGGCAGGTAATTCATATAGCTTTCCTCTCATCTATCTTAAAATTTTTTTCGTTTTTCATTCAGGAAATTTACACCTAATTCAAAGTTATTGCTTTTTTGAAAGTAATTTATGGTCTGAAATATCTGCTGGTACGATGTTGTTTTTGAATTGCCTGGTTTAATTACGACCGTTTCAGCCGAAACAGCGAAGTCGGAGCTTATGTAAAATAGGTACATAATGCGCTGACAGCAATAATCAAAATTATTAGCTCGATGTACCGTGTTAGTAATTTTGTATAATTTGTGCTTATGCTCGTGGATTGAATTGAAATGGGTTCATTATTATCATGAAATTCAGGCCACCATTTTATTTATGAGCTAACTTTCGGCAAAAATGTGTAAAAAAATTATGCAAGGCTTCTGGAGGACTGAAGGTCTACCACAAGAAACATCGGAGTCTTCACCAGCCTCGCGGTAAACTTCATCGTATTTAGTCTGTCAAAATCGAAAATTAGGCAGCAAGTTAACAAAAAAGAAAACTTTTAAAAACTCCTTATTTAATAACAATGTCTTCGTCGAAAATATAGTGAATTTATTTAACATTTTTTAGTATTTAAATTTCCGGTTAGATCCTCTTGATATCGTAATCACTCTCGCCAGATCTGTCTTACTGCGCTGATTGCGGGGCAACGGGAGGTTACTATAGGTGAGCGACTCCTGGCCGAGGGATGGCCAGTGGTCGGTTGCGGTCGATTTTGACTTTATTACTTGACAACAGTCATCGTTAGTCATAAAAATTAGGGACATTTCCTTTGGGTTAATTCGACATCACCAGTTTTTGGTGACCGACATCTCGAAAAATGTGACTCTGATATGCATGGGATCCCGATCAATTGAAAATAAATGGTACAAAAAGCTCAAATTTGAGAGATAGGAGTAATATGAAAGTTGGGAATGATTTTTATTCCTTATTGCTCCTGCATCACGAATAAAAATTTTATATTCTGGCTGACCGTTTGCCAATACATACCTATAATAAAACAAAAGAAAAAGGTTGACTGCTGCACAATTTACGAATGAAGTTACTGAGAGCCATCTAAGTGAATTAATCCAAGTAGCCATACAAGCCAATCAGACGGCCAGCGACACTGAGTCAGTTTTTGGGCTACTTACTTGCTTTCGTTCAGCGGCTGCAGAAGGTCATCATGGGTTTTGTATTCGTCGCCTTCATGTTCATTCAGAACAAGAAGGATGTCCCCCTTGCGCCGTCTCACAAGCTTCTTCCACTGTGTCAGGTCCAGGTCCTCACTTCTCATAGTCAAATGAATGCTCTTTGGCTGTACGTACTGCAACATTGCTGCAATTGCCGCAACCTCGAGACCTGCAACAGTGAACGTCAGGCCAAATACAAGAACTTTGTGCTCAGAGAAGCTTCCCAGTCTCTGTTATCGTCGCCTGCGTTGTGGCCTCATTGAAGTATACAAGTAGGCATACTCATGGTTTATCCAAAGTCACAGAAGGGTTTCTAGAATTTGAAACAAGAACCAACACTAGGAGCCACAGCTATAAGCTAAAAAAACTGCGGTGTAACTCAACCATTCGGCAACACTTATATTCTCGCTTCGAGTCACCGACATATGGAACAGCCTACTTGAAGATATTGTTGACGCTCCTAGTATGAACGCGTTCAAGAACAGACTAGACAAGGCCATGCAGGAGCATATGTTTAGTCATTGAATGCCTAGTACCCTACGGAACAACTGAAAGCTTAGAAACGATTTTAAACCTACCGTCCGTTGAAAAGATTTTATCAAAAGGCCAATCTTTTAGATCTATGAACTAGTCAAGAAAAGTACAAGAATAGGCGACAGGCCTATCCAGGCCTATTCTTCAACGCCGAATATACTATACTATACTATAGTACTATACTACTATTATTACAGAAGACTCGAAAAATACCAACAGTAACTACTTTCACTAACCTTAGCGAGCCTAATATCACAATTTCAGATACGGATTTTATTCTTAGTAAACTTCGAAAAAAGCAATAAAGTGCTCAACGAGTTGCGTTCATCGCTGCACTCATTGTTCAATTAAGCTAAATTCTGCTGCCAGACGTAAGCATATTTCTCAGCTTCAATATTTTGACAGACATGTTGTCGCTATCAGTAAGGCTGAGCCATACGAGTCGTTAAATTTTACCCAATCAAAGAATGGATAGGGCGGAACAATCATCGGTGGTGTAGTTGGAAAACGGGTTCCAATTTTACATTAATATACCGTAGAACTCCGGAAGTCTGGAGTATCGGTGCTCAACATAATCAAATTCTACGCAAAATCGCAACTGGGAGGCAGGCGGATTTTCAGTAGTCGACGCGGCAACGTTGCTTTTAAAAACAAACGCCGCTATGCTGCGCTCATTCGCCGCAAGTTGGCGTTAGTCAGCAGCTTTATTCAGTTTGCATAGGAGCTTGTGTATTTTATATAAGAACCTATTTTGAGTAATTTAATTTACTTTTTAGATCTTCTTAGCAATTATATTCAGAAGCCAAGTCAACTGTATATTTACTTCTCCTGGAACCGAATAACGTCGACCCCCTGGGTACGGCGCGTGAATATAAATGTGCGAATTAATATCGTGTCATTCAAATATATCTGTATGTACATACGCAAAGAGATGAATTCAGTGCTGATATTAATTCTGACCTCGCTTTCGTTATTTATTGTTTGACGTCATTATCATGACTCGATTTCTAGTGTATTCTATTTCTTTTGCGTTTTTTTTTGTGAGAAATTTGATATTATTAGAATGAGACGCTACACTCTTCTAAAATCAAGCTTGATTAAGTTATAATTTTTATTATTCAAGAACTGCATTATACAACGTTCACCCACCCTTGTTGACGAACCAAGTGTCTTCGTCTTTACGCTTTAAAGCAGCTATTTCGGCCACCAGCTTGACACCAGCGCACAACCGCAGGCAGTCCTGCCAATCGAATGCGTTCTCGATACCAGCATCACGCAGCGCTTCCTGAAGCTCTGGCCAGCGCTGCTGGAATCGGCTGGGACTGCGCCTGTTAAGTTCCAGCACCACGTACTGCAGTGTCTCACGCAGGCTGGGAAAAATGATAACATGAATGATTAGATTAAGAGAGTTCTAAAAATATTCCAATTGCTTTTGATTGGGGTCAAAACGCTGCTAACCAATCTGATATTTCATTCGTCGTTATTTTCCGCTGAAGAGCTTATATATGTCCTTATTTATGACCTCATTCAAATTCATTCGGGGGGGGGGGGAAGGGCGGAGGTTAGAATATTCTAATAGGTCTGAAGACACCTTAAAATAGGGCTAGTGATGCCACTGTTGTAGAGAAGCTTCTTGCGGTAGTTACATAAATTACGCAGCTAGTCTTAGTTGGTAATTCTTAAGAGTCTTGTGGAGCGGTTGCTGAACACAGCACCAAGCTCAAACAGCCTCACGCGCTAAAATTTATGTTCGGGTTTCCTACTAACGTCGGCATCCTACGTCTGGCTGCACACTTCCTCTCCTCCACTCCCCACACACATCGCGAACACTGTCCCCACTTGTTATTGGGATGAAATTTGGGTTTATTTTGTTTGTATAATTGTATAAACATAAATCAATATTAACATTTTTAATTATCGAACGATTTGCTACGAATTTTTTTCCTACTTGTTTATTTATGGGATTTTTACAGGAATTCATAAATTTTACTCTCGTATCAAATTGGTTGTTTTCGCACTGATAACTCTTATTGACAATACGTGTTCATAATTTACATCAATGCTGTGTCGTGATAGCACAACCAAGTTGATGTAGACTGATTCATAGAAGCGCGTGTAAAGATCGGTCGAGCATAAATACCACAATTTCATGTCGATTGAAAGTCACGCAGCATCAACAGTGGGCTAATGTGCAAAAATGTATCGTGGCGATTATTATTGAAATTAAAGCCTTGATCACTTCAATTATTAAATTTTATGATAAACGAAACAATTTGGTACGAATATAGCCTGCTTTCATCCCTGTAAGAATGAGTTCGCATTTCACGCCTTTTCGGTAGAACGATTGCAGTAATGAATGAGACAACCAGAGACCAGCAAGGTACGAGGTTCGACGTAACTTCCAAGCTCGATATCCCCTCGCGCCCATGCAGTGATGAGCTTTATATGTAGCGGTTTCAGCGTTTATTAGGCCGTAGGCCTGTTGCCGATTCTTAACATTGCAGAACATCCACAGCTTGTTGCGGGCTTGAAAGTGCAACTCACTGCTTCAGTTCTGCTGTGCTTAACCGCCCGGCCTCCTTGCCGATTCTGACCAGAAACTGGCGCACAGAGCTGGGATCGAACCCGCACCTCTCTGCGCCAATCTTGTTACTCAGTGTAACCACTGGGCCACCCTGCCCACCCTGCTTTGCTTTGGGAAACTGGGAAAAAACAATAATTTTAATTCCATTAGGACAAGATTCCATTCCATTAATTACTCAGGCCAAGAATTTTTACTGGAATTATTTAGCTTTCATGACGTGAAGAGAGACTACAAAAGGCAGAGAATTACCTCTACCGCAAGCTTGCCTCCCTCGCCTATTCAAAATAGAACATGGGGAGAACCAAGCTGATCTATGCTGATTTAGAAATGCAAATGTAACGATTAGTTGAGCTGCTGGAAGATGAAGGGAGTGGAGGATAGGAATATGGAGGAAGAAGTATAAGGGGCTTACAAAATTTACAAGCGAAATGACCAGTCAAGCATAAAAGGAACAAATTTATGCCCCCAAAATGAATGGAAATCGTATGCGTCAGCAACCGCAAAAGGAAAATTTCCTACCAAATGATGTGAAATGAATAGTTTTCTGCTACTTTGGTCAAGAATTCGTGCATGAATCATTTGAAGGTTATGATTTGAGAAGAGGCAGAAGATGGATGAGGACTTCCTATATTCCTCAGCTTGAAACCCTCACCCCCAATGCCGCAGACATGGGGGGAAGTGGGAAGTCCGTGGATAGCTGTGGTTGGGGTTTGGGGACTTGACAACTAAGCACTCGAATCGTGTACGATGTCTTCACACACACACACAAACTCGTGTGCACGTGCAAAGAATTACTTAACATAATTGTTTACCATTGATATTTTTACTTGATAAAAAAATGTGGAATGAATCGTCACTAATTGTTTGGGTTCTTACATAAAGTTGAACATGAAATGCCAAGAGGTTATGACAAAACCTACACGACGATTGAAGACAAGTGTTGGGTACGTCGACACAAAATATGCCTTTACACTCCCCTTCATATTGAAACTCTTTCCATCTTTCACCCTCTTCCCCATAATGTCACTGCATTCGTTTGTATCTCCGTATGACTATGGATCTTCCATCTAGAAACTTCAAAATTTATTATCATTATTTGTAATTATTTCATATTTGAAGTAGTAACAAATTGCAATTTTTTATTTCATTTGACATTTCGTAATAATAGGGCAGGATGGCCCAGTGGTTATAGTTAAGAGTACCAAGATTGGCGCGGGTTCGATCCCAGCTCTGTGCGCCAGTTTCTGGTCAGAATCGGCGAGGAGGCCGGGCGGCTAAGCACAACAAAACTAGAGCAGTGAGTTGAGTGTTCGAGACCGCAACAAGCTGTGAATGTTTTGTGATTTTCAGATTCGGCGACAGGCCTACGGCCTAATAAACGCTGAAACCGCTATTATTATAATTATTAATAGTATTATTATTATTATTGATATAATTACTATTAATACTATTATTATTTTTATTATAGATCACACATCACGTTTGTCTCGATTGAAATAATCTTAATCTATAATCAAGATTATTACATTCAGTTTGCACTGAAGAAAATACATGACGTGTAACAGAGTAACAACGAAAGACTGTAATTAAAATATCGACCCTTCGAAGTCACCAGCACCGAGAAAACACTTGGAAAGAAGAGAAGAGGACTGAGGAAGATGGGAGGGGAAGACGTCACTGTTCGACCGCAAAGATGTATGGACATAAGGGCATGTTCTTCCACTTTCAGTGTACGACTACGAAACGACATTTTTTAGCTTTGATCTACGGAATTTTCACTGTTTTTTGCTAAAATGACTAATATTTATAACCATAAATTTGATTAAAAAATGCATGGTATACCGATCAATCGCGAATAAATAGTTAAGCCTACTTACATCACGAAAATGGTCGAAAAGTCGCGCGCTTCACGACCATCGGGCCGCAAAATTTTCCTTCCTGATAAAAGTTGATATACAAAATGCTACAAAATTTATCTTCATGTCCGTAATTTGAAAAAATAGATGGAATTGCATTCCAAATGTCAGACTGCTTATTTACGACGTGAGTTATAGTTTGATGAAATAGTTAAGAAACCTCATAGAACTGGACGCGACCTGACGGCGGTACTTCAGCGGCAGTACTGAATTTGCACAGATCCATGATACCGAATAAACTTCGCCGCAAAAAAATGCTACATGTATTTAAAAACGGAAAGTTTTCTAGTACTTAAACATCATTGCAATATAATTAGTTGTCCAATGTGTGTGTGATGACTGACAGGTTCCGTGGAAATCGGTGCTTGGAAGAAGTACGGTTGCCGTGCGATGCATCCGCCAGCGGGTAGTCGGGATTCCTGGGAGATTAAGATACAAGCATCAAATTGGCAGTAGCTGTTTCTGTGAGCATGTTTTTTATTGGCAAATATTTTTGTAACGAAGAAGAAATGCTGGAAAATGCTTTTTATATATGCCATACATGACGTTGTTTGCTCTGATGGAGTTAGATGGAAAGCGCCAAAAATTAATCCATGAAATTACTCCAACACCTCTAGATGTAAAACAACATAGACAATTTTACTCTAAACAAAACCAGCCTTTTTATAGTTTTGAATGTCTCTTGAACAATACAGCAAGATATGCACTAAAATATTTTTTCCCATTCAAGCGTAATATTTATGCGGAACCCCTCAATCAACATTAATTACACCAAAACATGAAGTTTTAGCTGTGGATAGAATTATTAAAGTCCGCCGAAGCGTGGGTAAACCAGGCCTGTCACGCGATATCTGTGATCCGTTCAGTCTAGAAAAATCATTGCACTGTGGACCTGCTCAGACCATCTCTCTGGTATTTCCATTGAATATGGCCAGACATTTTGTTAATATACTCACAGACGTGTTTCCCTTGCCACTTTATCGATAATGCTGTTGAGGGGAGAGTATTGTTCATCAAAAATGCGCTCTACGATGTAGTGGGCAGCGAAAGTTTCTTGGATAATCTTGTGCCGAAATTCAAAAAACTGGGGCGCATTCTCAGCGACTGTTCGATGTTTTTTCAACACAACTCCTAGAATAATGTTCTCTGCCTCTTCATTGACACCTTGAATCCTGCAACTTGTTTTGATTTCTTGGTACTTGTCTTCTGAAAATGTCACGAAGTTGTCATGGAGCAATTCCAATGCTACTCTGCCAATGATTTTGAACATTTCGTCAAGCATGTTTTCTCCCTCGGGGGAATTAGGAGTTTGTAGTTTCGACACGGCAATTTTTCTGTATAAGCCGAAAATGAAGTACGCAATGCCCATGGATTTATGCCATGAGAGGATCTTTTCCGGAAAGTGCAAATGGAAGAGGCGGAAAAGCATCAAGTTTACGGGTTCAGTGAAAAGTGTTCGTACTTCTGGTTCCAGCGACTTGAACTTTTCTATCATCGCTACTCCGGCCTGGTTAGCTTCATTCGAGGAATTTTCATACATTTTCAAAAATTCAACTTGATCTTCAAGCTTACTGATCGGATTGATCCCATACACAATGGAACTGACGTCATTTTTTGATAAAAGCTTCTTCAGCCTCTCCTTGCAATGAGGTCGAGTCGTGATCAACACTCGACTGCCAGTGCGCCACGATCTTGCAATGATCTCTTTTACTATTTTGTATGAATCTGTGTTCACGTCATCGAAACTATCTAAGACAAATATGACCTTGCGACGGAGGATGGCCTCAAGAACGTTTTCTTTCTCTTGCTCGCCGCACAGATCTCCGAAAAGTTGCTTGACGACGTCACTCAGGGTTTTTGCGGTACGCTCCCTTAAATCGAACAGGATCAACTGGTCGAAATGATCTAAATTCTCAACAATAGTGTGCGGCCTGTTAAAGAATTGTAGTATGATATTTTTTAGGAAAGTCGTTTTCCCGGAACCGGCAATGCCCTCAACCACGACAAACTTTACAGAGTTCTCTAGAATTTTCTCGTTTGCAATTTTAGTGTTTTCAGGGACTCTCTCGTCATTTCTTTCTTTAACTAGTAGGTCAAACCCGTGAAATACGGCACAACTGTTCACTGTATCCCTTTCTGATGTAAGTTCTTCTTGTAGTATTGCATTTTCCACGAGATTCTTGATGTTCTCTCTTAACTGCTGATTGCTCGGATCCAACATCGAATGGAAGTTTTTTATACGTTCTTCATCCAAGAAAATACGTCTTTCATAATTCTGGTTCTGTCCTTGACCATCATCCAGGGGCGAATAGAAATTTTCTACATCTTTCAACACCTCTGAGAGGGCAGTTTTAAGAGTTCCGAGGTTGATCGAATCCTCAGCAGCCGCAGTGTTGTCAAAGAATCTGTCTCGCTTGATTTTCACGTCTCTTAATTTCTCAAGTAGGTTTGATGGAAAATCGCCCACGTCATCTTTGTGAACTTCCTTGAAAATGTTCTCAAACAGACATATGAGATGAGTCACGTCAAGCTGGTCAGTGTTCACTTCAGTTTCTAGAATCTTTGACGAGATCCCACATGAGTTCTCCCATTCTTCGTCTTCGAACTTTCTGCCTCTCAAACGTTCAACGTATTCTCGGTAGGTCTCATTGTCTTTTTTATTTGTACTCTCTTTTTCTATTATCGACCGCAAGTATCTGGGGTTCACGTACAAGTCACTGACCATTTCGTAGTACTCATATTTTTTAGACCGACCGCCTTCAGCCATGTTGCAAGACCTATCGGGCAATTACATGCACTTTAAAAGTTACATCCAAAACTCAGCTAATATTCAAAGGAGTAAAATTTGATTCTTTTCTCTTAAACATTATGAAAGCCATGAGTAGAAAGGCAGAATTGCTGAGCAGAGATTCTCTATAGTCCGTGCTATACGAGGTCTGATCGAGTTATTATCCTAAATGGACATTGCTAAGTAGTAACTTACATATTTAATGGTTTCATATGACAGTTTTGGTTTGAGGCTCCAAAGCTAGTTTATTGAATAGTTAATTAACTTGTTGACATAGGAACTGCAACCAAAATATTCTATCAAAAAGCATTCAATGACATTCATCTATGAACAACAAAAGATTCATGTACAAGTCAAATTAATCATTCTTCAGAGTTTAAGAACACGTATTAAAAACTCATCACACTTTTGCCTCACCTATGAATCAAAGTACATAGTTTCACAACACGTATGAATCACTTATCACAGTTTTTTACTCACACACCTAGAGGTTGTTTATGTTGAATGCAGAAAGACTCGAAGCTACCATCTTGGCACCACACAATACACAAGCAAGCTTTATCATTTTCTTGCATTTATAAGTCGTCAGCATCATGACTCACCGTCAGCTTAAGGTGTGCTTTAAGTAATAAATCATCACAAAAGCAGATAACGGTACAAGTCGAGAGAGCTGCCTAAACCTTAATTCCGCGAATTTATTACTTCCTTAAGAACTTATTAGAAATTATAACGTATGCACTGGTTGAACTCATGAAATGATAGCGATAAACTGAAGCGCAGATAAGATGTTTTTTTCTATTCGCGATCAAAGTCTGTAACACATAAACGATTGAAGACGGAGAGAAAAAAAGTGACTTTATAAAACAAGAACAGTGCGGCGACTTTAACTCGCGGAATATAATAAAATGAATGCGAATAAATAATAATTGCTGCCCATCCATAAAATAAATCAATATCAAAAATTTCTGATCTTGTCCTAAGGTCGCAAAGTGTCGGTCATTGTTTCATAAGTAGGTCAAATACCGATAAAATTGTAGAAACAATAAAATAATATGCGTTTAAAATTATTTTTTAAAGACAACACTTCTAAATAATCCAGTATCTTTGTTGTTACACATGTACAATGAATTTTTTTATTTTATTTTCATATATAAAAAAATTAAAAATATGTTTAAAATATAAAAATTTTCTAAATTTTCAAAATTATTTATTCTGTCAACTGATTCATGCATTGTCTCTGGCTTTATGCAAGTGTGTAAAATTTCAGATCGATTGGACAGGTAGAAGTGTGGCAAATATCGATTATAAGATTTGTAGCAGATTTTAATATTGAATAAATTAATTTTTAAATTATTTATTCTGTCAATTAATTCATGCATTGTCTCCAATTTTACGCAAGTGCGCAAAATTTCGGATTGATTGGAGAGGTAGAAGTGTGTTAAATATCGATTATAAGAAGTCAAGTTAATATCCATTATAAGTTAAAGAGAAGTGTTGTAAAAAACTGGCAGTCCTTTCAAAATAAAAGATCACATAATCTGTGGATGACTCTTTAGACTCTCATATATAATTTTTGTAACATTTGAAAGGAGGCTGGGAATATCAACTCGGAATGTTCAGTTTTTCAAGACTAAATATAATGCTTCAACTGGTTGTGAACATGTGTTCTAGCTTTGGAATGATATGATTTGCTATAACAGGAATCGGGATAACGGGATTTGATACAAAAGGATTCGACAAATGGGATTCTCAAATATTGAGAGTTAGTAATTTACAATTTTATGTATCATGTTTATATTATATTCGGAAGTAACTAAAGCAGAAAGTGAAGGTAAAAGCTGCTATCTTCACATTATGATAGTTTTCAGCTGATCAGTCACTGTCTGACTGGCAGCGCTTATCCCTGTTGAACCTTGCAATGTTCTAATCAAGCGCATTTAAGGTGTGAGGCTACACTCAGAAAATAAATGTGTTATATTGACCAAATAGTGGCACACTCTCTGCACGTAGCACTGATACGCTCTTTTACCGGGCTTAAATGAGTCAAAATGACACATAATAGGGCAAAAACTGTAACGCTATTTGGACAGAGTCTCTTACATTTCTCCGAGTGCAACCTCAAAATTATTACACGTTACTCTTCATTTACATCGAAATTCATTAAAAAGTTGCCCGGCTCAGAATTCTTTGAATATTCTTATCATGATCACAGATTACGGGATACCTACGTAGTTTTATGCCTGAAGACAATTCTAATAAATTTTTTCACGTTCTTCATAAGTCAGTCAATTTTCTCAGAACGCACATGAGTTTAAGTTAACTAATTATGTTATCATTAGATTAGGAACTAAAATCTTTTAGTAAGAAAACATTGATACATACAAAACAAATGATGGATCTGTACGGTGTACTGTGATCTCAGACTTCGCATAAATTAAAACCCTAATCCGTGAACTGAGAGTCCACTAATCTAAGGCACTGACGGAAAATCCAAGTGTTTTAGCGTTGAGTAAAGTGCTATTTATTTCAGCAATGCTCGTGGTTATACGAGAAAAATAATAATAAAATATCCTCTTCATACGTTGAACAATTTTCCCATTTGGTTAATAATAGCTTTGTATAAGTTCGTATTTCATTCTTACAAGGCTTTCCTTTCGTCTGACTTTCTAAATAGCAGCGTACACAGTTCATTTACATGCACTGTTCAACCCTCAGTCTTATAATTCTTGCTATATTTACTTTGATGCGGAGCTTATTTTTTTTTGTCCATGTTATTGTTTCTGTAACCTTATTTCATATGTCTAGCAGCTTCGTTTTCTGAGGGTTAAATACTGATTGTTATAAAATAGAATCTATTTTGAATTGTTTATATATTTACTTAGGACTGGAAAGTTGTTTCACATCTGTCGCGTCCTAATTTCTTTAGTAAGTAAACATCGTATATAATTTTCCTTTCCAGGCGGGAAGAAATTGAGCTGTGACTCTTTTGAACAAGCTAATCTTCAACATATCCAATGTTCATCAGGCAGTAAAGTATCAAAACACCTCGACTACCAACCACTCTAGCCAGCCCTTAACGGTGATGACCAGGACAATTATTTGAGGTCTCTAGGTTTCTACCTTGTAAATTTCCCGAAGTAGCATGAAAAGAATTGCATAAATGTCTTATGAAGAAATAGGGATACAGAATGTAGTAGGATAAATATAAGGCAAATATTGTTGGGTCCAAAAATTTATTCGAACAATTTGGACATGTACAGACACACCCTTTGTGAACTCCATGTTCACGCTTTTAACGTGAGTTAAACTGTGAGTAGCTCGATTGTTTAATGGTTTAAAATTTTCAACTTCAAACTAGTGAACAAACACACGTTGCAGTTAGATCGTATTTCTGTAGGATGGCTATAATGCATTGAAAGTATGAATGATATAATGTTGAATGACTGATATTTATTCATCGAATAATTATAGTAGCCTTGGCTACTATCAAGGCTGGTGTCACATGGTGCTTCCGTCAAATCAATTTTTTAGTGATTGAAATTTAGATGAACGGGTTTAGAAGCAAGTAAACTTCCATATTTGTTATATAGTGAAACTAAAGGTATATCAGACTCAACTTGCTGCTTGTTACCGAGCAAAACCATGTTTAATTAACATTAAACCATCACGTATTATAGCTCTCTTTCTTGAAAGTTGATCCTAAGCAGCTGGATTATCAATAGATTCGACCTTAACTGATGACTTAAGCATAAAGAATAAAGGCCTCTGCTCATGCTTACTTATGTTAAGGCGGAGTGGCTGTAACGGAATCCGGCGCTAGCTGAAGAATCCAATTATGCTGCAAAATGCTGGTATATGCAGCCAGCTAGTCCAATCCTGTTGCAAATAGGCCTTGCTGCTTCTTAATTCCTTGCTGCTCTTAATTTAATTACATGTATTCCGGTTCGTTTCTCTATCAAAAATAAGCGGTAAATGGCGAAATATATGTGGTCAAATGTTGCCTATAGATGTAAGCGGTAATTGCTTGTTGTTGACTTAAGACGTTGCTGGCTGCAGCAGAGCACTAGATTTACGAATCGCTGAAGTCGACAAATGAAATCTACGAGGTAATGAAAATTAATTGATCCAACTACGTGCAGTTCTTGTGATTGTTACTTATCAATGTATAATAATAATATACCAGGGGTCTTGTGTTCTTATTTATTTATAACGAATTCATTAAAAAATCGGGTAATGACAAATTGTGAAAAGAAAGTTAACGAAGAAGTTTGAGCTATCGGTTTTTGTCTTGACAAAAACTACTCAATCTTCTGGAATTAAAAATAACAAGAGATATTATATATTTATTCTCGTATTAATTTTTTCGACGCTGCCGTGACTGGAATTCATCTTCGACGCTCCCCATACGAAGATGAATTTCAGGTATCAATAAAAGTTTTCCCGTTATAAGTTTTGCTAAATTTTCTATTGTTTTATTGGTCATTTTTATAATAACAGATTTGAGTTTACAAGAGTTTTATCTAAGGCTTGAAAAATAAATTTTTGCTGCCGTCGCTGTACCAGGTGAGCAAGCAGACGCTATGATAGCGGATAAAGCAACAAGATTGACTATATATAATGGAGTGCATCATTTAAATCAATAAATGTTCCATATATAGTAAAATAGATATTAAAACCAATATAGTCAGAAAAATCATTTTAACTGCCTGGCCTCGGCTCCTGAGCGGTAAACACTTGAAAGTGGCTTGAAAATGGGTGCCAATGAGGTGGCTCTCATCGAATAAACGAGTTTTGAAAGCGGGGAAAATTTTTCAGCAGCTGTTTAGATTACGAATGTAATTTCGCGCTTTTTATGGAAGCTGGAAGAACTACTTTTGGAGACTAGTCTCACACGTTACATTCATCACATTTTACATTATGCATTCATCATGCACCGAATGGAGCTTTCTACTTCTATTTCTTTGCTGAAAGTAGCCAGTTTCCAGGGCTGATGAATCTGCTAAAATTAGCGTTATTATTGTGTGTTAAATATATTCATTATAAGACTTTTATAGGGGGGCTTCCTGGGCTGAAAGGCGTCTGACGGCATCCATTCGGGCACAGTTCTGGAAGAAAATTCAAACTTACGAAAGAAGTTTCAACTTCAGAGATAAGTTTATTTCTTTCTTTTCAACATCATTTTTTGTGCTTAACCAAAAATTTTCAGCCTTGTGAAATTAAAAATCAGATTATGATATTAATTGTTTTCATATTAGTTTTTCCGATTCAATAGTGCATGGCTGAAATTATACGCAGATAAATTTCAGGGATCAAGGTTTTGCCGCATTAAATTTCTTGGAATTTTTTTATAGTTTTATATGACATTTTTCGAAGGAACAGATTTGAGAGCAGCCATGCATGCCCGAGTTTTATCTAATGGCTTGAACTTTTGCAGCCATCACCGTACTAGGTGTGAAAAAAGACGATAACTCGTCAACGCGGCATAATAAACTCGTTAGTTATCATGCTCGTAAATAACACGTTTTGTTCACTGCGAGCAGCTC